TGGCTGGCGCCTTAGCCGCTTGAGCCACAGGCGCCGAGCCGGTGTTTATCTTTCTAAACTTTTTGCCAAGCATATGTATTCACAAAATATATTTTTTCTACAAAAATAAAGCCATGCTGTTTTATATTATGTTTTTTTATTTTATTATCTCTTGATATCATTATGCATTAATAAATATTGATCTTAATCTATATCTAAATATATAAATTAAATATGTGAGTTGTTTAAATATACACTGTATAACATGTATAAATAAGAATGTATGTTTATGGTAAAGAAATACAAATATTGGTATGTGGAAGTTTATGGAATAAGGAACGTGAGTTGTCTGCCCCTCCCCTTGGTAACATTTCTGTCTGTCCTCTGGGTTCCCTTTGGGAATAATCAGGCTCTCCTCTGGGCATCTGCATGTATGGTGCACTTACTGGGGTGACTATGTGAGGGGAACAGGGCTGGGACTATGCAGCTTGCAGGGGGTGTGGCCTCATGGGCAGCTCAACTCACCATACCCACTCAAGCCATTCTCTAAGTTGATGCTGTTGCTCATCTAGGAGTTATTTAGGATTTCTGCTGGGAGCACTCACGTTTTATGAAGTTTTTTGCTTTTGTCTTTGTGGGCCTGTAAATTTCTGCTTTCTGTCATCTTTCCACTTAATCTCTTGCTGTGCTTTATCCTCTTTCAGAAATCTTGATGGCCAGGTATGCACTCCCCCAGAGTTTCAGTGGTGCTCTAGTTTCAATTATTTTTCTATTGTTGCAATCAAGTCTTTGGAAAGAAGAGATGTAAACATAAGAGGGTATTAAGATGCCTGAAGTCTGCATCAATCATTTTAACAGCCACATTGTATTCTACTCAATGGCATTTCCTGTTGCTGGTCATTTATATTGATTTCACTTTCAGTCTTTTTGTTTGTTTGTTTTTGTTGACAGTATCTTGCTCTGTTGGAGTGGTGCAATCACAGCTCTCTATAGCCCTGAACCCCTGTACTCAAGCGGTCCTCCTACCTCCTGAGTAGCTAGGACTATAGGCACCTGCCACCTGGCTGATTTTGTTTTAATTTTGTGTGGAGACAGAGTCTGCCTATGTTGCCCAGACTGATCTTGAACTCCTGTGTCTCATAGAACTTCCCTCGGAACACAGGTTAGCACCTGCCATAACCCCTGCTTCCCATGCTTATCCTGCACTCCAGCTCAGTAAACCTCAGCTGATTGAGGTTCCAGTCTCAGTTTTTCATTTGGGTCAACACTGTTTTAATGGACGCAGATACATTTAGGATTGTTATGTCCTCTTGCTGAAGTGGCCCCTTTATTCATTTACATGTATTTATTCTATTTTATTTTTTAGATATGAGGGCTCACTGTGCTGCCAGGGCTGACCTCAAACTCCTTACCTCAAATGATCCTCTTGTCTTAGGGCACACACCACCATGCCTGGCTCTGATCATTTTTATTAAATAACCTTTTTTATCCCTGGTATTTTCTTTGCTTTGAAATCCATTTTGTCTAATATCTAAGCATTAATTTAATATTAATTAATAGAATTTAAAGTAGTTTTAGAAATAATAAAATTAGCAAAAATATAATTTAATATTAATGTTAAAATAGCCTCAAATTTTCTTTGAGTAATGTTAACATGGTATTTTTCATCCTTTGATTTGTTTTTTGGGGTTTTTTGTTTGTTTTTTGAGATGAAGTCTCCCTCTGTCATCCCAGGTAGAGTGTTATGGTGTCATAGCTCACAGCAACTTCAAACTCTTAGACTCAAGAGATCCTCTTGCCTCAGCCTCCTGAGTAGCTGGGAGCCCAGCCCCATCCTTTGGTTTTTAAGTCATTTATTTTTAACATCCATTTACTGTGGGAAGTATACAACTGGTCTTGCTATTTTATTCCTTCTCAGAATACCTACCTTTTGACTGAACGGTTCATTCTCTTAGCACTCAGTGTGATTATTCACAGTGTTAGGTGTAAGTGTGTTATCATGCTTAGTTCATTCTATTTAGCACACAGTGTGACTATTCACAGTGTCAGGTATAAGTATGTTATCGTGCTATTTGTTTTCTATTCATCCCAATTGTGTTTCAGGTTGAGGTTTTAAATTTTTCCATCATTTCCTGTTTTGTATTATTAGCTATAGATTTTGTTTTATTCTTTTAGTAATTTATTTAGTTTCCAATATACATCTGTCATAGCCCACCTTCAGCACTGTCTCTCATTCCACCCACGGAGAACCTTATAGACTTGCATTTTTATCTTCTCCCCCTTTATGTTTCCATTGTCACATATGTGTATCTTACTTTATACGGCACATAGGTTATAAATCTCACAATATATTTCATTATTTTTGTTTAAGCAGATCATGATCTTTTAAGTAGATTTAAATAATAAGAAAATCCTCAAATATTTACAGTTACAGTTTTCAGGATTCTCATTTCCCTGGTGGCATCCAGGTTTCTACTTGGCATCACTGTCCTTCTGCCTGATGGGTCCTTTAGCACTTGGTGTGAGTCTGCAGTTGATGAGTTCTTTTGGCTTTTGTGTTTGGAAAATGCCTTTATTTCACCTTTGTTTTCTGAAGTTATTTTTGTGAAGTGTAAAATTATCAGTTCAAACACATTTTTCCTCTCAGTACTTTAACAATGTTACTTTCTTCTTATTTAATGTTGTTTCTGACAAGAAATCTGCTGTCATTGTTATCTTTGTTTCCTAGTTCCTTTTAGCTTTATCTTTAGTTTTGAAAATTTTGATTATAGTGTACCTAGGTGTATTTTTTTTTCATGTTGTTTGTGTTTGGGATTCATTGAATTTCTTGGATCTGTGGGTTTATAGTTCTCATCAGACTTGAAAAATTACTAGTAATTATTTATTCACATATTTTTTTATGCACTGCCTTCTCTCGCCTCTCCCTTGGGGACTCCATTTATAACTGTAT